CTAAGCAGAGAAAGGGATACAGTTTCTCTTGTTCACGGCGAAGCGACTCACTTCCATGGATTCCTCTCTCCTCTCCGCGGCTCCGGCCGATACCTTCAACGGCAATGCGACGGATCAGATTACTCCTCCGGTGCAACCTCCGGGCACAGATATGACTGGTATTTGTTTTAGGGATCAGCTCTGGATCAATTCTTACCCTCTTGATTGTAACTACATCTTCGACTACTTCGCTTTGTCTCCCTTTTACGATATCACCTGCAACAACGAGTCGCTTCGTCGGAGATCCATTCATCCTCTCGATTCCTCTCATCTCTCGTAAGCTTTTCACAACGCCCTTTGTGTTCTTGCTTCAATTTGCCGATCACGATTAAGAAAAACCATGGCTCAATCACTGGTTTAGAGTCATGTTCAAGCTCATCTTCGTCCTCTTTTGATTAGCTGAGAGCTTAAAGTTTCAATTTTTATGTCGTATTAAGGTTTTGGTCTCTGTTTGTTTCCTGAGAAAGTTCAATGACAATCTTTGGTTGAACACATTCATTCGTCCGTAGGAAGATGACAGGCATTGAATTTACGCTCACTGATGCTACTGAACCAAACCTGTTCGTGTTTCGTAAGCAAAAGAGGGATGGTCCTGATAAAGTCACACCGATGCTAACGTATTATATCTTGGATGGTACTGTATACCAAGCTCCACAGCTTCGTAGTGTCTTTTCAGCTCGTGTCGTAAGTTTCTTCGCCTTTCTCCTTTAGATTCTGTGTGATGCTGAGAGGGTGGATGACTAAATGAAAGTTGTCTGCTTTAGTTTTTGGAACGTTTTGTTATCTTCTGTTTCTCATTTGGGATGTTTGAACCAGGGTCGGGCTGTTAATTTTTTATCGAAGGCTTTCTCTATTGCTGCGACGAAACTAGAGACCAGTAGGCAGGGTAAGGTTCATTTTTCTTCCATAAAGATCGATGTTTCTGTTCTCAATTGATGTGATGGAAATCGTCTCTGCTACTTCGACTTAGTTTCAAAGATTTTTGCCTGCTCGACTGAAATATATATATTCTTTGTATGAACTGTTTGATGCTAGTGTGCTTAGTTGGAATACCTGGAAAGTTTTTCACTTAACTAAAGAAGCTACTTTTCTTCATTATCAAGCTCATGACCAATGCTGAACAAGTTTATGGATTTATCAAGTACTTGTGTATCAGTTGCTCTTTGCTGTACTTGAGATAGCTTACTGAATATATGTTGTGATTTTGTCTATGAATTTTTAGTTGATGCTGAAAACCAGAACGAACCTTCTGAGCCAAAGCCTGCTACTGAGACAGTTGATCTAAAGGAAATGAAGCGAGTCGATGTCATTCTTACCTCGTTATATCGCAAGGTACATTTGTAACTCTAAAAAAATCTACTTGCTGGATCACTAAGGCCGTCTTGTTGGCGTGAATGTTTCTGACTCTACTTCATATACCTTCTTCTGATTGTGAAACTCGCTTTTTGTGTTGGCTTGGTGCAGTT